ACAGTAAAAAGATCTGAGAAGTTACCTTCACACACCTGTAAATCAAAGAACCAGAGGGACCCACCCAGGGTCACCTGGCCGAGGTGTTCAGGTCTGTGCTATCTGATAGAGCACTTAAGAGGAACTAGAGGAGAGGGGCTTAAGATGTGGCTGAGGATCTGACGTTAACTTTTATTTAACTTTAATTCACAATTTAAAAATAGGTACTTGATTCAGTTATTAGAAAATGTTTTAATTATATTTTGGAACAACTTGGGTATGCAAATCTATTTTATAATTGTTATCTATTTAAAATGCAATCTAAATATGGACCAAGTATTTCCAATGAAATTTTAGTGTACAAATTGAGATATGCTCTAAGTGTAAAACACACACAGGGTTTTGAAGATTTGGGGGAAAAAAATGAACTCTCTCACTGATTATATATTGATAATACTGTGGTTATATTAGGTTTAATAAAACGTTGTTCAAAATTAATTTCACTTATTTCTTATCACTTTTTTCGGCATGGCTACTAGAAAATTTCAAATTACATGTGTGGTACACATTATACATGATTGGATAGTGCCAGTCTAGACAATTCTAGATAAAGGGTTAACTGTCTCCAGGAATGGAAATCTTATGATCCTTTCCAATGGTCAGATCCATTTCATTCACTTCAACAAACATTTACTGACAAGGGTACTGTGTTTGCTGAGTGTGAGAAGCTGCTGTGTAAAAGGCCCTGCAATTACCACGGAGCAGAAGGAATACAGAGATCTCATCTACAACATCACAGAGGCATGGGTAAGGCAAAAATGAAGTGCAGCGGGGATTAAAAGGAGATGCCAGTATATCAAGTGGCTGGTAACAAGGAAGAGAATGAAAGAGAAAGGCTTTGAGAAGAAGGTGGTCCCTGGGATACGCAGTGAAGAGCAGTGAGGGTTTGAGCCAGGAGAGAAGGGACCCACCCGCCACAACCCAGTCCCCATTCTCCAGGGCCCTTCCCTTGGCCCCTGCTCTTCTCAAGCCCCGTATCTTGCTAGGGAAAATCCCATCTGTATCACTGCTTCAATGCCCAGTCTACGCTGACAACTCTCAAATCCCCATTCCCAGCCCAGGCTTCCTGGTCTCTGGTTCCAGACACTCAATACCCAGCAGACATCTCCACGCAGATGTTTCTCAAACTCCACTGACTCCCTAGCTGAACTCCTCCTTTCCTCCCCACCCTAGACTCTGGTCCTTTCTGTCCTTCTCTTGAGGAAGTGGCAGGACCAGTCACTCAGCTATTCAAGCCAGGAACATTACCCTAAATTCTTCCTTTGTACTACAAGCCCTAACACAACCAGCCCCAAGTCCTGTGGAGCTTTCCTCAGCACCTCTCACCTGCTCCCTCCCGCACATGTCCACTGCTGCTGTCTGGGTCCAGGCTGTCATCGCGCCCCACCTGGGTCATACAAAAGCATCTTCCCTGTTGCGGCTGCTTCCCGAGTGGCCCCTCAAGCCACCTTCATGCTGCTGCCATGGGGATCTTACTACACCTTAAAACCACTCCTCTCACAGCTCCATGCAGCTTTCAGGGTGAAGTCCAAACTCCCGAATTTAGCTCATACAGAGGAATTTTATAATCTGGCCCTCATTCACCTATTCAGTTTCATCACCTGCCTCTCCTGACAAGCAAGTACGTCTGTATGTTCTGTTTCCTTTGCCTAGGACACCATCCCCATTTTCTTAAAAAAAAAAAAGGATTTTAAAAAATTGTAGTTAAAAATATATTATTAGATTTATAAATGTATGTGTGTGTACATATATACATATACATACATACCTATATCAATATAAGATTTACCATTCTAGTCCAGTTTTCTTTGTCTAGTTTAATTCCTATTTATTCTTTAAATTCAGCTCAAGTATGGCCTCTTCTGAAAAACCTTTTCTGAGTCCTCGGCCTGGGTTAGGTGCCCTTCTTCTGTGTCACCAAAGTCTTAGCTCCTATCACACTGTGCTCTGTGTTGGCTCATGTTTCCTTTTACAGACTTCCTATGACAGTGTGTCTTATTTCATTTTGTATCACCAAGGCACAGTGTACAGTTGTGCACTGTACTAGATGTCAGGCTGAGGAAGTGAGTAAGGGATGATGGTCATTAGCCAACTGTGCTCTCTGGTTCAGGGCTGTATCTAGGCTTTTTTTTTTTTAGCTTGCACAAAGGTGCCACAGGTGACAAGCCCTGTACATCCCTAGGGACTATTACAGAGCTGGGACATAGTGTTACAGTAGGTGCTCATTAAATGTTAAATTGAATAAAGATGGATGGATGTTTTAGGTAAGGGGACCAAGGGGAGGCATGGTGGGGAAGCTAGAGCAAGGGGATAGTATCGAATGATCACGACTGGATTAGGGGGTTTGCAGTCAGTTTGTAGGGGGTGTTTATAGATAAACCTCCTTCTAGAGGTAGGTGTTTGGCTTTTAAACGGGGACTCAGCCTTGCCTCTGCTTTCTCCTCACTTCAGGCACCCACTAGAATGTGATCTATGGTATATAATGGGCTGAGAGTCTAACTCAAACTCAGTAGATGATTAAGAAACTTGGAGAAGTTTTGAGGACTGTGAATTAAAAATTACAAAATATTCAGGCTTGAAAATAAGACTTAGAGAAGTTAAGTGACTTGTTCAGGGTCATGCAGAATGTTAGTGGCTAAGCTGGGACTTAAACTGGCTTTTCTTGTCTGTTGGCCAGTGCTTCTTCCACACAGCCCTCTAGGGAAGCCTTCCTGAACTGAGACAGGCCCTGGAAGCCACCAAATCAACTATTCCCAGGCCTCCGATACACCTCGCTGGTGTTGGTGGGCAGGGGATGGACTGACCAGAGATGAGAGCAGTCAGAAGGCTGCTGCAATCAACGCTCAGCCTCACTGGTACTGCATCCCTTGATCTGTCTAGAATACCCACTTACTTGCAGTCAGGTAGGTCACCCAGGACCTTTCTGCTCTTCACACAAGGTCAGTGCAGTAGTTTTTGGAGTCCTTTTCTCAGAATGGCTATTTCTCTCCTTGCGACTCTTTTGATTGCCTTTCTTTGGGCCCTGTCTAGTATTTTCAGATTCTCTCAAAACCACCTCCTGTCTCTAGGTGAAGGGGCCTTGCCCAGAGCAGGGCTTAGTAAGTGCAGGCTAGTTGGTGTGACCCAAACGTGGTGGCTGATCTAATGCCAGTGGTCCCCCTGAAGCCTTGTTTCCTAGGAGAATCCTTGGTGCTGTGTCTTGCCCTTTAGGACCATGTTTATCATTTACAGCATTCACACTGTGATCTGTGACCCCCAAGATTCCTCCCAACTTACTCCCCATGAGCCTTGTCCCAGTTTCCCTCATTTAGTTGCTCCAGAGCAACCTGACTGCAAGTAGGTGGGTATTCTAGACAGATCAAGGGATGCAGTACCAGTGAGGCTGAGCATTGATTGCAGCAGCCTTCTGACCATGGAACTCACCAGGCAAGAATACTGGAGTGGGTAGCCTTTCCTTTCTCCACTCTCCAGGGGACCTTCCCACCCCAGGGACTGATCCCAGGTCTTCTGCATTGCAGGTGGATTCTTTACCAGCTGAGCCACAAGGGAAGCCATCCTCACAGGGATAGACAAAATCCCTTGGGGCAGAGATATCATTAACCACATTCCTCATTTACACATGAGGAAAACTGAGGCACACAAAGATCGAGCCACTTGCCCAAGGTCACCAGTTGAGATCTGTATACAGGCAGTGATTCAGGAAGCACTTACATTAGGACACCAGATGATGCCTTGGCAAACAACCTTTCAGGTGCTCTCTGAGGTCACCACCAGAGGGACACTCATGCGACCAGCAGGCAGGCCCAGAGGCCACCAGTATCACTCATAGGCTAGGTCTTCCCTAACCAGTTACAGTCACATCCTACAGCATGGAGATCCTAACACTCGGAAGAGAACAAAGCCTGGCTGTGAACCATGGCTGCATGACAGGTGACTCCCCTTCTTGACAGCCATGTCTGAACCCTTCTTCTCGGTTGTGAGAGGCTCCCCAGTTGATCTGGCACAATTAGCTCTTTACAAAGTCATCATAATTTCCCACGTGCAGTGACAAACCACTTGATGATGACTTTCGTCCACAGCTTTCCCAGCTATGAACGTAAGTGCAATTAACTAGCATGAATTAACAGAAGACTTCTTCCTCTTTAAATAAATAGATGAACAATCTCCATACTTATCCCTCATCTGCCTTCACCAGGCCAGCAAGATAAGGCTGGAGGCTCTGTACTAAGCCGGTCCCTAAGGGCTCTTGGCATTTGAAGATACTCATCTCCTGCTTCCTGTCCTCGTTTTCCGTTTGGTTTCCTATCTGTCCATTCCACAGGTAACCTTTCCTGACTTTTCCGTAAAGATGGAGATAAAAAAAGTGAATTAAAAGCCTCTGATTTTTCAGTCACCTGCAGCCAGCCCTCTCCCACCCCATCAAAGAGGCGACATTCTCTTTGGATTTCCTCTCTTCCTCCTGTGGTCAGCTCCCAATTACCTGCCTCTGTTGGCAGTTACTTCACGGAGCGGAGACCAGGCTGCTTGTGATGGGGGCTCTGTGGGGGAGGCCTGCCTTCCAGGGCCCTGGGCAGAGCCATGGCCTCACTCCCCGCTGGGCAGACTGGCTGTGGTTTTGATTATTTATACCAACACTTCTCTTCACTGGGGCAGTAAATTGAGAGGTGACCGTATAACAGGAGTATTTCTCTGTTTACTCTCTTCTTAGACACAACTTGCCTCAGCTCTCAGGAGTGGAAAAAATCCCCCTGTCAGGCAGACAGTCCTTTAAGGTTCGGTTCTCTCCAGTGTTTAGGTTTCTTATCCCATCACGATGGTTTTCTGTCCCTTCTCTCCCCACTTCCCGAAATTCCTGGACAGGATGCCCAGGAACAAAGACAATGGGTAAGCACAGCTTCCTGTGGTTACAGGGACAAGCAGCGAGACAGTCAGCCAGCCGTCAGCACCCACCCGACACTCACCATGGTTTGTCCCTTGATCCCTTCGCTGAAAAGATTGTGTGCTGTTTGCTGCTGGAGGTAAGTAGATTGTCTTTGGGCGTTTTGAATGGCTTTGAGGAGCTGCTGGCAGAGTTATGGCCGCTGAGACAGGCTTTTGTTTTCACCTGTACTAGTGATGTCCTGGAATTGGAGGGTGGAGATGCCGGAGATGGAGAAGGTCTACACATTGAACCGTGTCTTCTCTCTACAGGGGGACAAAGAATAGAACTCAGCACGTCATCTGTAGCAAGTGAGTCACATGCATGCTGGTATACACAACAGGCAGAGAGCAGAATGCTGATCTTGCAGTGTTGGCCCCTGGAGCCTCCGTTCTGACTAGTTTGCTTGACATCCTATCCCACCAACTAGTGGTGATTACCTTCTGAATTTCTGTATCATATGGCACACTGCACTCATACCACAGTTCTCACTGGAGGCATTTACCAGGCAATCCTCCAAAATCATTTTCACGGATGGGAACAGAGAGGGGATGCCAGATGTTACCTGGGCACAGTGAGAGAACCACACAACCCTGGTCATCCTCAGACAGCCACTCAGAGGCCACAGGGTCCCTCAGGGCAGTGAGGAGGGTAAGACTTTTAAGAGAGCCAACAGAAATTTCTCAAACCTGACCCCTAGTACATGTTAAGTCATTTCAGTCATGTCTGACTTTTTGCAACCCCATGGACTGCAGCCCACCTGGCTCCCCTGTCCATGGGATTCTCCAGGCAAGAATACTGGAGTGGGCTGCCATTCCCTTCTCCAGGGGATCTTCCCAACCCAGGGATCGAACCTGCATCTCTTATGTCTCCTGCACTGGCAGGTAGGTTCTTTACCACTAGTGCCACTTGGGAAGACCCCTAGTGGGAGCACTGAAATCACGAGGGCCTGCAGGGCTGAATGAAAGGGTCCTCTAGATCTGGGAGGTGGCCAAGCATCTGTCCACATGTCCCTGTGGCCTCTCCAGGGCTCACTGAGGCCCAGAGCCACAGGTGCCATGTGAGGACTTGCAGGAGCATGTAACAATGGAGGCAGAATCCACAGGAGCAGGGCCTGGACTTGAGCAGCCAGGTCCAGCTTCCTGGGGTTCCAGGGACACCAGACCTGCCCCACCTGTCCACCCTCAGTCATCTGTGGCCTCAACTCGACGGGTGGGATGAGGATGCTAACCAAGAGAGCAGGTACCCGAGGCAGAGCTCTAGTGCACACCCACTACAGTGGTTCCCATCTGTGATAGGGTAACAGATTTGATAAACATTAAAGACCCCTTCCCAAGAAAAATGCCCCCAAATTCTGTACACAAGTACAGGAAGGAATCCTGAACCCCCCAAAAGACAAATGCTCTGAAATCCTAAGCCCTTCTGGCTCCCTCTTACCTACTACAGAGTCCCACATATGTTAACAGTTAGTGCCTAATTACTATGTGTAAAATAAATAAATGAAATTATAACAGATATGCTAATGTGAAAGACCAGATATCAAAAAGCTGGACATCTGAGTTGAATGCGATAACGAACAAGATGAGGGCAAAGGTGGCAGATCCCACTGTCCCTCCATCTCCAACCTGAATCTCAGGTTTTTCTCATTAGGGAGATATTTCTGGCCACTATTCCAGGTACTCTGACCAGGAAAAGAAAGCCAGACTGACTCTGACTACCAGGCACAAGTCTTTGGGGCTTCTCTGTGCTCCCTGGTCCCAGCAGGCTGCCAAGCTGTCACCAAGCAGACTGACTCTAGTCCTCTGAGGAAGTGGGAACTGGGAGGGGAAAGTGGGTTTTGGAGGATCATCTGATTGTTGGGTGTTTTTTGCCTGACCAGGGTTCACAGGTTGCCTGCACTGAGTAACTTTACTGGGGAGTCTTTCTTCAGAGAATCAAGAAGAGGCCTTGTATACATGTGTAGTTCCCAGAGGCATCACATTGAAGGATTTGGAAACCAAGAGTTTTAGGACCTCTGTGTTGATGTAAAAGAGAGGACCCTGGGCTGAAAGCCAGGGGATTCAGGCTCCAATTCCAACCAAATCACATTATTAGGCTTATGACCTGGAGTTCACTAATAAACTTGCTCAGTTTCCATGCCTGTTTCTGTAAATGAAGCGGGTCCCTCGATGGCCTTGAAGGCCTCTTTCCACTCCATTATCATGAATACAAGGCACTCTTACACCTGTTCCTTCTCTTCCCATCTCTCGTGACTCCGGAATGTTATAGCAATAATTACAGCTAAAGTATTGAAATATCTTACTCAGGTGGGATCTTCCTTGGAGGAATTCATCTTTTGTAAAATTGTACTGGCCTTTACAACCCCTGTGAGACATGCAGGAAGCAGCCAGCCATCTCCACCCTCCTCATGGCTGACTGGCCAAAGAAGACCCAGGGAGCACAAGGTGACTAGCCAAGGTCAGGGCCAATGGTTGTGAGAGGAATGGGGCCTCTATGCTGTGGGCAGGGACTGAGCTGCTTCTCAGGAAGGCAGGAAATGGGGTGTGCTGTGACCAAGATGCGAAGCCAAGAAATTAGGAAGTGCAGGACTTAGAATCACTGAAGGTTAGAACTGAGTCTTAAAAAATCAGCTCATTTGATCTGCTTGTTGACAGATAAGGTTATCAGTGAGAGAGGTTACCAGTTACCAGTCTGCAGGGTTAAGACCAGAACCAGGCCTTCGCACTTCAAATTCATAGCTGTTTCTGCCCCTCAGAAATGTCTTTCTTAGCAATTTTTTCTATTGGCAGAAGTTTCCAAAACTAAAATAAGATGCATGAGACAAGTGCTCGGGCCTGGTGCACTGGGAAGACCCAGAGGGATCGGGTGGAGAGGGAGGTGGGAGGGGGGACCGGGATGGGGAATACATGTAAATCCATGGCTAATTCATTTCAATGTATGACAAAAACCACTGCAATGATGTAAAGTAATTAGCCTCCAACTAATAAAAATAAATGGAAAAAAAAAAAAGACTTGATTTTCACCACTACTGCTTTGGATTTTTCTGCAGACTTTATTCACTCATTTGCTCTCATGTACTCAAGCTGGTAGAAGGGGTGGGGGGGAAAGGATGTGCAGAAATATTCCTCTGTTCTGGTGGGGGAGATGAACCTTCAAAATGAAGAGAATTTTTATTCTGTTAAACTAAGAGCTGAAATAATACAAGTGAGCAAGATAAATCAGAAGGAAGAGTGACCTTAAGGACAAATGAATGGGCCAGATCAGTGATTACAAGATCACCCCCAGAGAATGACAATTACTGTCCCTGCCAAAACATTCTGCTACTAAACTTACAGAAAAATTAAACCAATGGATAAGCTTTTTCTTCTCTAAGAGAGAAAAATGCTTACACACACACACACACAATACACATATAGGCTTTCCAGGTGGCTCAGTGGGTAAAGAACCCACCTGCAATGCAGGAGACACAGGAGATGTGGGTTTGAGTATGGCAAGCCACTCCAGTATTCTTGCCCGGAGAATCTCATGGACAGAGGAGCCTGGTGGGCTATAGTGCATAGGGTCACAAACAGACATGACTGAAGCGACTGAGCACATACGCGCGTGTGTGTGTGCGTGCTCAGTCCATATATATATTCCGTTCTCCAGGGGCTCTTTCTGACTCAGGGATTGAACCCAGGGTCTCCCACACTGCAGGCATCTTTACTATCTGAGCCATGAGGGAAGCCATATAATTTTTTCCTGAATGGCCAACTGAAAGAACAAATTGTATACAAGAGAATACTCAGCAAATTTGGAAGACAGCCCTTCACCCTTTTATTTTAACTGGGAGATTTCTGTATCATAATGAAGAGATTGAAGCAGTGTTTCCTATTTGCAAAACTGTTCCGTGTTGATCAGACGGAATTAAATCTGTCACATCTTCAAGGTATTCCACAAACAGACCTGTACTTCTGTCCCCTCAGCTTTGAGAAGGAGCTTACCAGCCACAGTGCAGGTGACAAAGCCTATGTAAGTGGGGAAACAGCGTCAAAGTGATTGGAGCTTCACTTAGAAGATAAGCATCACACTTACTTCATTTGGGTAAACTTTTGAAAATGGGTAGCCCTGATGTTTGGGTAGGGCAGAGTAGATTTTTGAGTAGATTTTTCAGAAAGATGTAATACCTATCCAATCTGTTTCTCTAGTCTGTGACAACCTTGTTGGAGAAGTGGGTGGGCTGGTGATGGGAAAGACAGTCTTAGTTTCTTGTAGAAAGATGTTGCCAGGCAGGTGGAACATCTCTGGGTAAAGTGTTCTATATTTACATCACAATCATTCTGATACAAAAACTCACCTACTTTGGGTTTACTCATCCCCACCCCTACCCTTCACCCCCCCATCCTCGTTTTGGTCAAAGGATTGCCTCAGGTGGATCCCTATAATTATTCTAATTACATTTGCTTTGCCCAGAAACAGTTTAAAGAACATTGTATTTTTTTACCCGCTATTAAAGTATTCTATTGATAAATCTCAGAGAAAAAAATCCTTTTCCTCCAAATTTTCTCATTCTTTGTTCATATATATAGATGCATCAACAAAACTGCAATCAATCGACACCTTGGATTATTCTTTTTCAACTTACATTATTCTACTTATATATTTCTAATTCCCATATGTATGTCATTTTAAATGGTTAGGTAATATTTAATTAGGGCTTCCCTGGTGGCTTAGACAATAAAGAATCTGCCTACAATGCAGGAGACCTGGGTTTGATCCCTGGGTCAGGAAGATCCCCTGGAGAAGGGAATGGCTACCCACTCCAGTGTTCTTGCCTGGAGAATACTTAATCACTGACATGTTGTAGACTACTTAGTTTTTCTCTTACTACTTCCTGTCTGACTTTTTTTTTCTTTCTTCTTTTTTTTTTACAATTTAGTTAAAAAGTCATTGAGGATTATTTCTTTGAGGTGTCGTTCCCAAAGTGAAAAAGGCTGTAGTTCTTAAAACACATTTCTTTCTAGACTGTGGAACAGAAAGACCAAACCAATCTATTGTGCTGAGGCTGACTGTGAGTACCAGTTACCTACCCAAGTGAAAACAGGAAATCACTGTCAAGACACTCATGCAGAATTAAGTGTCTGCTACATCAATAACAGTCTCAGTGGTTGATGTTGGACCAACAACCTCTGCTCTTACCCTTTTTGTCCTTTGACCAAAAATAATAATAACTTACTAAGATTTTTCCATGTGCCAATGGAAAGAATTCTATGAAAGAAGAACTCTA